CTTTCCTTAGCTAGTTCAATTATGGTTTTAGAAGTAAAGCATCATTTGTTTACTGGACACTGCCCAAGTGTTCCTAGATTGAACTGATGCATTAAACCCCCCCCCCCCCAATCTATTAACTAGTTTTTCCTATGAAAGGGCAAGAGCTGCCCTCCCAAGCACAGTTTATGACCTTGTGTTCTGACCATTATATTTATCAGCAGGCACATTGCCCAACACAACATTCTCACATTGCAAAGCAGTGCCTGAGAGACTTTCTTATCCACATCTGCTCCACTGGAATATTGTATTGCATGAGGCTGCTATGGTAACACATCCACTACAGGGAAATTCAATTTGAAATTTTAAAAGTTTAGTTACTTGCAAAATGGAATGTTATGAAGTCACAGCAAGATGAACACACTGTAGTTTCGCTGCTGAGGAAAGAATTATTATGTATTAAAGTGATAAATGTACAAAATGTATTAATTCAATTTTAAATTTTAAAAGTTTAGTTACTTGCAAAATGGAATGTTATGAAGTCACAGCAAGATGAGCACACTGTAGTTTTGCTGCTGAGGAAAGAATTATTATGTATTAAAGTGATAAACGTACAGAATGTATTAATTTTAGCTTGAGAAATCAGAGGAGGCTCACTACTTTAAAGTGATTTTTGTCTCCCTCAAGGGCAATAAAAGATGTAAAAGTGAAAGTCCACCATAGCAAATAGATTCTGCACCATTACAACTACCCACTTCAATCAACAGGAAACAATTCGGGGAATTTGTTATACTTGGAAAAGACAGTAGGGCCTCCATACCTGGGGGAAGGGGGAAGAGGCGGGCATAAAAAGAAGACAAAGAAGAAGAGATTGAATTTATACCCTGCCCTTCACTACCCGAAGGAGTCTCAGAGTGGCTTACAATCTCCTGTAAATTGGTGGAGCTGAGAGCCCTCATTCAAGAACTGCTCCTGAGAAAACAGCTATGAAACCAGGATGTGGATGAAAAGACCAAAGAGAGGTTTCTATTGGACTCAGTGGGGCAAATAACTTACAGCTAAGGGCACACAGAAGAAGAGAAGATTGGATTTATCCCCTGCCCTTCACTACCCAAAGGTGTCTCAGAGCGGCTTACAAACTCCTTTCCCTTCCCCTCCCCACAACAGACAACCCCGTGAGGTAGATGGGGTTGAGAGAGCTCTTGACAGAAACTGCTCTTTTTCAAGAACAGCTCTTATCAGAACTATGGCTTGCCCAAGGTCATCCAGCCAGGTGCAAGTGGAGGAGTGGGGAATCAAACCCGGTTCTCCCAGATTAGAGTCCAAGCACTTAACCACTACACCAAACTGGCTCACAGAATTACAGCCAGAACATGACAGCTGGAATGGCCATTTCCTTGCCCACTAGTCTGATTGTTTAAGTTAAAAATGACTCAAGCACATTCAAATTTTTCTCCATGAGGCTACAACTGTTTGCTTTTTAAAAGATTCAGGATGAACAAACATCCAGAAGTACAGGGCCAATGGGATTCATCCCTTTCCCCCTACATCAGTAATGTACTGGACTACTGTAGTGCATTTCAAGGGACACAGTAAAATTCCAAACGAAAGGTCCGTGGTACCTTTAAATTTATCCAGGCATGGAATACTATAGGTGGAGGGGTGGGAAGAAAGATGCGGATCAGTGATATGTCAGAGGGGAAGGGTTAAATGCACCACCCCCAGGCTGCTGTCCTGATCCAACTCATCCCTCCTAGCTTTAAATAATATTGAAGTTCTGTATTGGAAGATTATGTTGACAGGAGAAGGGTAACTATTTAGGAAACATAACTGGCAGGGGTGTTATGGTGGTAGAATTCAGATATGCCAATACAGGTGAAGAGTCAAGACACCTGCATGCTTGCCTCCCTTATAATCCCCTTCCCAGCCCAGGACATCCAGGTTTTACAGTGCTAGGGATATATCAGAATTTAATATCCTATTGCTAAATGCCACATTGGTGACTGGAAAAGCAGGTATCATCCAGGACATGATCATGGATGTGCTTGCAAACCTGGCAGGTATCACTGATTCCTTGCAGATTTCTCCAGTTCTACCAAGCTGGTTTTCAGCTGTAGCAGCAGGACTGATCTGGGGGAGGGGAAGAGTGGGTCACAATTGCCTATCATACCCTTTCCTGGCACCCTGTCCCTCAGTGCATGGGTTTTGAATGCAAGCGTCTGTCATTTGGCTCGCGACAGATTGGGGATTCTGTTGGTGTACCACCCGCCCACCCTGTTGTCCAATAGTCTCCCTGTCTTGAGTTCTGGGATCTTAGCCTTGGGAATTGTTCAGGTGTAGTTCAACAGACATGCCTGGCCCTATCTAATAGGTGCCATGAGAGATGAAGAATGTCTCAGGGAACACTGCATATTAGCTGGAGAGATATTCTGTTGAGGGAAAGAAGGTAATTGGGAACAAAGGAGCTAGAAATTGCATTGTCATTGAGATCATCACCTGGTTAGGTTTAGTCTTTCAAAGACACAGAACCTCTTCAAGAGTGGGAGGCATATTAAGATAGTTACAAACCTCCCACAAAAATGATAGGCTTACATGGTTTCTTGAATGTACTGGGAGAAGCTTTCATCCACATGGCTAGGAGTCCTGTTCAAGCTCTGATTAAATAGTGCTTGCATTCAGTTTGAACTCACCTTAATTGACTGAGGCTCTGAACTTAGTAGGAATAACTAGAATGGCTGTGGAGGAAAATTTCTATTGAAGCTGACCAAACACGAGCTAGGTATCAGTTCTGAGCGTAACACATGACTCTGACAGCAAGCAAGAGATCTTTCTTCACCACCACTGCATCTGCTCACAGTAGTCCAGCAACACTGTTTTGACCAGTCTAGGGACTTTTACATTCCGGTCCCCAGCTGTATTCTGAGCCCTTGACGGTAAACTGTGAGCATTTGAGATGCTTTATTGACAAAGTTGCTTGCGTTCACTCTGATTGAGTCTCCACATGAACTATAGCTGTAAAAGGTCCTGTGATTTCTGTTGGTCCTAGTTCTATGGATATTTTTCAGCTTCTTTTGCCTGAGGACGCGGAATTAATCCTAGAAGAAAAAAATGCCATTACTTGTATTCCCCCCCCCCCTTTTTCAGGGAGGCCCAAGTTAGGTGCCATCTTTATTGTGATTCCTAATCTCTTGCATTCCCTCCCCCAAGGAGCCTGAGGTTGTCCCTCATTTCTGACTGTGAGTGGCATCTTACATTACTGGTTAAATTAGGCATTAGCTTATAACAGGAAATTCTAAACAGTAAACATATTTAAAACAACCCTATCTTGATAGAAGGATGAAGTTCAGATCTCACACATGAAGATTCTAGGAAAAGCATTCTGAACACTGGGGCAATGCACCATCTGAAATTGGCTAGAAAAGATCAGAGATAGTTCACAAAATGCTTGGCACAACACTAATATATACAAACCTGAAGAATTCAAACCTTCACGGGTGTTGTCATTATTTTATGTGCAGCAGTTCCAGTTAGTTTCATTGAACTCTAAGAAGAGCACATTTCCCTCTATCCCACGATAATTAAAGAATTATATTTCTGTTATGTAACCTGTTTTGTATTTAATGATTTAAAGCTGCTCTTTATGGATGGCAATGCTTGAGACAATGCTTACTCCCAATGGAGAACTTAAAAATATAGATTTCCATTAACAACCAAAGGATGGGGGGAGGGGAATTCTGTTGCTAAAAGCAGCTTAAACAAAGACATTTAATACATTCAGCCCAGATAATATTCTAGTGCAGGGGTGTCCTTTGGTGAGGAAGGGAAGGGAAGAGAGAACACAAAGTTGGAGTCCTATGGCACCTTTAAAACCAACATTTTATTCCAGGTGTAAGCTTTCGTGTGCATGCACACTTCTTCAGAGGGAGGGAGGGAGGGTGGCTGGATTCTTCTGACAAGCACAATTTACACTGAGGAAATTATTTTGGCTTATTCTGAAGTTTTTTTTTTTTTTAAAAAAAGATTGGATTTCTCTGTGCCTATCTTGGATTTTATTTTCTTTCAAAAAGACCCTGATTAGGAATTAGAACACTTGGATTGGTCCTTATAACTTGGAGAGTGATTTCAGATGCCAAATGATAATAGCACACATTTGTAATGAGAAAGGAAAACTAGGTCTCAATTCAGTCCTGGAGGATGCATTGTCTTGAGCTTCATTATCAGTTGCAATTCTGCAGTCTCTCTAATTCCTCCTTGAAATTCCTTTGTAAGAGAACTGCTACTCTTAGGTCAGCAACTGAATGTCCTGGAAAGTTAAAGTCCCCCCACTGGTTTTTGGTTGTTGTGGTTTCTAATGTCAGACTTATGTCCATTTATTATTTGCATCTTCCTAGACTGAATCCTCCTGGACCAAACTGAGACCTAGGTTTCCTGTCTCATTACCAATGCTGGTATCTCCACACCTACTACCCCTCTGCATATCACACCTAATCCAATCAAGCATGCTATTGTCATTCACCTGCTATTGACATTCGGCATCTGATATCACCTTTATAAAGTTTATATCTCCGGTACATCGTGTTACATTTTATGGCATGCATGGCACAGCCCAACAAAGTAACATTTATGTCAGATCTGGCCCTCGTAACAAATCAGTTCGACACCTCTGCTCTAGTGGACTGTGCCTGTTGCATGATTAAACATTATTTACCACAGCAGAACATAAATAAAACTGCTTTCCGTGTAATTTCTGCATGCAGACAGATTTATGTAAAATATATAAACATTTTTCAATTTGTTACAGATTGCATAAATATGGCATTTTACTGTTGCATTTACAGATGTGCAAACAAACACAATTTGAATACAATCTCTGAAAAGTACTTTGCATCCAAGTGAAGTAATGAAAATGCCCACAAAGTAATTTAAATATCAAACTTACATGTTTAAAATGTTTTCATTAAAATTCACACATTTAAAAGTTTTATTCATTTTATTTGTATATGTCAAAATACATTTTTTGTTTGCAAAATAGTGGGTTTTGCAAGTAGTTTCATGCAGATGCAAGGTCTGCTCAATACTACCAATAAATCAACGCAACACAGTAGCCATTCAGTTTTTAAAGAATAAATAACCTATATATAAAACACTAAAATATTAGATACACATCAATCATTCACAGGCATTCAAATCTTTACCAAATATAATCCACAGTATGCCTAACTGTTCCACAACACTATTTAGCATGTTGTAGCCACTCAGATGGATCAATTCTCTTCTTTATCTTGTATTAGCTTAAGACCACAAAAGATGTCCATCTTCAAACTTGTTACTCATGCAGACCAACTGTAACAAGATATCCAAGAACTATCCTTGTACCTTTAAAATCAATAATCCTGAGCTTGGTAGTAAGAGCAAAACCTTACATCTTCAAAAATACCTCCCCCCAAAAAAACACCCAACCCTGAAGAGACTTGTGTCCTCCTCAACCCAAATATTCTTTCCCCTCCTCTCACCCAAATGAAGCAATTCCCAGCCCCAAGAAGTAGGCAGTAGAACACAATGACCTTTTAAAATGAAGGGGTACAAATTCACATTTAATATAGTATACAATATAATCAATAATACAATAGCTACTACAAGCTTTACAATGTACAATTTATTTTAATGGCTGAACTTTTCAGTGGTTTTTAGGCAATAGTTTGTAGGCCGGAAAGATGGTTTTATTTATTAGGACTGAGTGAAAATATAAAAGCTGTTTGTTTTCTAACAAAAGCTATCTTCACTGGAGTATTTTATAAAAGGCCACTGAAATGTATAAAATGGTCTGACATAATGGTGGTATCAACTTAGATGCCTCTTCACATGGCAATAGCAGTGCATATAAACGTGTAACAAGTTAGGTCTTTCAAAATGACTTTGATTACTTTGGCTAGCACAACAATTTTGGACAGCACTCAAACACAGGTATGTGAAATGTGGTAAAGTAATTATGGGTGAACATTACTCAAATGAAAAATGGGAAGGAAAGATAAAAATATTTTATAGTTTAAACTTTTTTCAAGAGTGGCTCCATTACAATGTACAATTTCTAAATTCTTTAAGCTTGTAAAAGTTAATGGACTGCATTGAACACTATTCTGGAGCAGTCTAATTTGCTTTAACACATATTTTGCAATAGGGAAATATATTCAAGCATGTCATGTGGTGGTCTGAAAAATCCAAACAATACACATTAATATATACAGCATCACTCAGTACCTGCTAAAATGAATGTGACGGTTACAGGATCTAACATCTTGCACTACAAACCTTTTTCTTTTTTCTTTTTCTTTTTTAAAAAAGTGACCAATAAAGGCAGAAAACAGGAGTCTTAAAATAACCAATCTACTTTCAACTGACTTTTAAAGCATCTTTTATAGGAAATAAATGCATATTGCACAACAGTGAAAGCAATTGTTCCACCAAACCTCAGTTTTGGGCTGGCTGGCTGGCTGGCTGGACAATACAGGCTTAGTTAGCTACACAAGTTGTATTTTTAAAGGGGTGTGGTCTCTGTCAATGTAAAGCTGTGAAAACACTGTACAAGGGGGTGGGAATCTGGTACACGAATAATTAGAAGGGAACACACACAATTCCAAACTTAGATGTAAAAGAAAAAAATTGCAGGATAGAAAAAAACCAGCAACCATGACACAACAACAAAATAAAGTAATTGTCTGTGATAGCAGAAAGCTTTCTTTTTATGCAAGTGTTTATATGTACAACTAAGGCTTACTGGTTAAATATCTGAGGCTTATCTGGCCTTGAACACTTTCCTTATATGCATTAGCTGTAAACGAGATTTCTCAGTCATTATGTCTTCTCAGCAGCTGCTTTAACACATGAAACATTGATCTTTGTAAAAAATAAAACACCCAGGTAAGAGGGCATTTGGCAGGATATCTGAAAATGACAGTCTCCAAGAAATCTTCCCAGGCTTCCAGTGACTGCCATGCTATGGTCCACTGGAGTTACCAATTATGTGCAATCCCATGATCTGCAGCTGGAATAAACAGTTTTATTTGGAAAGCTTGCTTATAACTCTGATCAAGGCCCCATTTTCATCTTTTAGCCTCTGGTTATCTGCCTTCAGGTCTGGTAGCATCTATCGGAAAACAAGAAAAGTAAAAAAGTATATGATGTTATTCCCAAGAACAAAATAACAATTATTTTTAACAGAGAAGTGCCCCACCCTTTTTTTCTCCTGCAACCAGTACATGTAAAGAAGTAAAATGTCTGGGAATTTTGAAGACACAAGGAAAGAAAATTTTCTACTATATCCAATACCTGAGAAAGTGTTGTAAACTGCTGCACCCTATGCTACCATAACACAAGTATCTCTAATTTTTACTGAGAGCTGGGAAGAAATAAAGATTGAAGGCAAAAAATGAATTCTGTAGTATATGAAATGAGTGTATTATTTAGAAGAAACTCTTTCAGAGTCACAATTGGTAAGAGTGCCACATTTAGATATTAAGCTAAACTTTATACCACTGAAAACAGCGCTCTCTTATATTTAACACATTACAGCATATTGTTGCCCCAATTATTTAAACAATTTTAAGACACTGCATATGTCTACAGTATACTTTTTTCAGCGTTCCTCTAAATTCCTCAGACGTTTTCAAGCCGAACATAGGTGTTTCTTTTCAGTGCTCCCCCAAATCAGGTATGCCCAACAGGTAGATCGCGATCTACCAGTAGATAGCGAAGGGGTCAGAGGTAGATCACCAGCCCCACTTGGTCTCCTGGTATAAAATAAAATAAAAAATGTTTGCAGTTCTTTCTGGATCTTCGTCTCTCTGTTTTGTTTTTGCTTATTTTGCTTACCAGTAAATGACAGGATGTGCACTATAAAGGGGCGGGCGGGCGGTGATCCCAACTTTAGTGGGTTAAAATCTAATTTGAAACTAATTTGAAACTTTATTTTCATGGTGGTAGATCACCGGCACTTTTGGAAAAAGTGAAAAAGGCTTGAGGGAAAAAACTTTAGAAAAACAGAGAAATTTTGGGTAACAGTGGGGGAAAAAACCCACTGTTTTCTTGGTTGGAATGAGTGAAATGCTTAATACAAGGTTTTTCTCACTCAAAACGTCTTTTTCAATTGGGTCTTTTCCCATTTTTCCAATGCAGATATTGGGAAATTTGAGGGAGCACTGAAAAAAGTCTATGAAATAATTTCTGTTCTAGGAATGAGGGAAGAGCTTTTGCTCGAATTATGTGGTATCAAAATTTTATGTAAGGCAATCCACAACATTAGCTAATGACAAGCAGGAACCTGCAAAGCACATGCTGGAGGGAAGTGATCTCATTTTCTTCTCCTCTTTCCCTTCCCTGAAAGTCCACACAGCCTCTCATCTTTTCCTGCCTTCTTCTCTCCTTCCTACCCACCAACCACCTTTATCTGTCCCCTTGGTCTTTCCTTCTTTTCCTCCTCTGGCAGCCAGTACCCAGAGAAACCAAGGCCATGTTGCATGCTGCTGGCATGGGCCCAGTTGCATAGTGGAGAACCACAAAGTCTTGCAGGGATCATCCCATTTCCCCTATATCCCCTTCCCCACTATTTTCCCTTTCCCTTCTCTTGGCAGTCCTCATATATATTCACCTTCCTCTTCTTCTTTCTCTAGTTCTCACTCACCCATCTTTTATCAACCCCCCATCTTCAGGTATAGTTATTATTGCATTCTTACCCTGCCTTTCTCCACAATGGGTACCCAAAGCAGTTTACTTCATTCTCCTCTCCTCTAATTTATGACCCTAGACTGACAGTGTCTAATTGGCACAAGGTCTCCTAGTGAGCTTCCATTACAGAGTGAGGATTTGAACCTGGGTCTCCCAGAGCCTGTTCTGAAACTCTTAACTACTATACCACATTGACTTTCATGGGCTGGATGCTGGTGAACAATAGCAAGCAGCCAGGCCTAAATAAGTCTGGGAAGTTGGGTGCCAGCAAATTGTTTAGTATCTGCTGCCAGACCTAGCCCCAATGAGTCTTCCCTCAAAGGCCAAACAGCCCTGGGAAGGGCCCTGGTCTTTCCCCCTGCCTTTTTGCTCACAGAAACCCAGCCTGGAAAGCTGTGGTTGCCTAGCAACAGCCGAGGGAGTTTCTTAAAGCTACAGGTGCTCCTTTTACCATTTTGGGTTTTTTTTAACCCCTCAATGTATTTTCGTTCGTTTTCTATTTTTTCTGCAATCCTAGGGCCCTTTTCAGGTTTGTAGAAAGATCTGGGTTGCCCATTCACAGCTCCAATCACCAGATTTAAGTATCCCCAGACTTTGCAAACTTCGCTATTAGGATATACACAAGTGGAGACCCGCAAGAAACTTGCAGGATGGGTATCCCATTCCTCACACTTTTGCTTCCTCCCCTCTCCCCCTACCTCTCTCACACTTTCTCCTTTCTTTCCCCCGTTTCTTACTTTCTATCCTCCATGCATGTTACTTCCTCTCTCTTTCTGACCCATCATCATTCTTTGTTTTTCTGCTGCCCCACCTCATCACTTTTTTGCTCTTTTGCCCCCCCCATCAGTCTCCCAGCCTCCTGTCTGTTTCCTCCCCTACCCCGCACAGCAGCAGCAGAAGTAGTGGTGGTGGTGCTCCCAGCCACCCACCTGCTTCCTCTCCCCCCACAGCACCAATGGCAGCTCTCCGGGAATTACAATGGATCTCCCAGCTACAAAGATGAATTCACCTTATGGCTGCTGGCTCCAGGTTGAGAAATTCCTGGATATTTGGGGGTGGAGCCTTGGAACAGTGAGGCTTGGGGAGGGAAGCAGCTTCAGCAGGGTATAATGCCATAGACTCAACTCTCCAAAGCAGCCATTTTATCCAGGGTAACTGATCTCTGTCACTTGGACAACAGTTGTAATTCTGGGTGATCTCCAGCCCTCACCCAGAGGCTGGCAAAGGTAGTTCTCATGGAGGGTGCTGCCTAAGGATGCCATCCTCCAGGTGGGACCTGGGGATCCCCTGGAATTACTGCTTATCTCCAGACTACAGAGATAACTCCTCATGGAGAAAATGGATGCTTTGGAGGGTAGACTCTATGGCGCTGTACCTCACTGAGGTCCCTGTCCTCCCAGTGTCCACCCCCAAATCTCCAGAAGTTTCCCAAGCCTGAATCTGGCAACTTTACCCCCCCCATCCCCTGCCAGTGGCTGGGGGGGACTACTGCCAGGCCTAGGGTTGCCAACCTCCAAGTGGGACCTGGAGATCCCCCAGAATTACAACTGAACCATAGACAGCAGAGATGTCTCTCTCAAGAAAATGACTGCTTTGGAGGGTGGACTCTGTGGCATTATACCCATCTGAGGCCTCTCCCTTCCCCAAACCCAGCTCTCCTAAGAGTCCACCACAAAACTTCTACGAATTCCCCAGCCTGGCAGTGGCAACCCGTGTCAGGCCTGGCCCCAAGACTCCCTCCCACAAAGGCCAAAATAGGCCTGAAAAGGAACCTTCCTGTTCCCCCTGACTTTTACTGACACAGCCAATTAGAAGCCTCCCACACACACACTGAATGGTCTAATCTCTCACTGTTGAAGCCTTGAGTAGATCCCTGTGGAGGCTATTTCAAAAGGTACTGGGGAGAATTCAACCTTCCCTAAGGCTGGGGGTTTTTTTGTTTTTGTTTTTTACTTTTTGGATTTTTCTGCAGACCCAGGGAGTCCCCTGAGTCTGTAGAAAAAGCTCCTGGGGGAGAGTGAGCCCTCTGCTGACAGAAATAAGTATCCAAACGGAGAAAGGACTTTGGCTATTAGTATATAGCTAAAACTCTTATGTAGGGGCTGCGATGGCTCAGAGGTTAAAAACTGAGGTGCAGACTGGAAGGTCTGCAGTTCAGCAGTTCAAGACCCTAGTGCCGCATGACGGAGTGAGCTCCTGTCTCTGGCCCCAGCTCCTGTCAATCTAGCAGTTCGAAAGCAAGGAATTGCAAGTAGATAAATAGGTACCACTTCTGTGGGAAGGTAATAGTGTTCTGTGTGCCTTGGCGTTTAGTCATGCTTGCCACATGACCACAGAAACGTCTTCGAACAGCGTTGACTCTTTGGCTTGGAAACAGAGATGAGCACTGCCGCCTAGAGTCAGATTCAACTAGCTTTCGAACAAGGGAAACCTTTACCTTTTAACTCTTATGTATACTGTAGACATATCTCACATATTGTCAAGAATGATTGTGGTTGGGTTCCGGTTCCGGGTGGCGACGAGAGCAGACGTGAACAGCAGCAGCTGAACACTAAATGCTATTCTAACAGTCTAAACTGAACAGAACAACGTTCACAAAGTGACTCTCTGGAGGAGGCTCACTAGCAAGAAGCTTTTCTTTGTAGCCAGAGGGGTTTGGCACGCCTATCTGGAATAACAAAGGTGCTTTGGAGCAAAGACTGTATAGGACGCCTGACGCAAGCCGGGCGGAGAGACGCGCCTACAGAGCCAGTAAGAACCAACAGAGTCAACAATCTTGCACAAAAAGGAACAAAGCCAACAACCGAAGCTAAGTATCTTTATTTAAAAAAAAAACCAGAAACAAATTTCAGTATAATAAGAGAGATAAAATAGGTGGGCGTTTAATGGCGGAGCTCAATGACGGGGGAATAAGGGAAAGACGAGATATCACTTTAAGGCGGCCATTTTCATTGTCCCCATCACGAAATCGTTAAAGGAAAAGAGCTTTACATACCGTAGAACAGCTGTGAAAAAGTGAAAAAGTACTGCAGGTGAAAGAAAGTCTCCTAACACATTGTACCTCTCCCTCTTGTCACACGGCAGGGAGCTGTGGGGCCGGAGCCGGAGAAGAGCCGGAGACGCGGGCGGTGATCGGATCGGGGGGGCCCTCGGAGTCCGCGGAGCAGAGGGAGGCCAGCTGACGGATCGGAGGCGAGGCGGGCCGGATCGGATCGGATAAAGTTCGGTGTGGCGACGTGGCGGAGTGGCGGTTTTGCCGGAGCAGGCCGATCGGTGGGGAACGTGCAGCGGGAGAGAGAGCAGAGAGGAGCAGACCAGTCCGAGTGTGCGCGTGCGTGTGGGCGGAGCCGGAGGAGGACCCGACGGGGAGACGGAGAGACAACAGACGGAGCCGGAACGAGGCAGTAAAAGAGAGGCGGAGCG